TTCCATCAATTTTCATCACCGGCCCAATTACTTTTGAGTTTAGGCCCAGTAGGCCCATCTTCACCAAAAACTTCATCAGGAATCTTCTTCACAAACTTGACAAAAGCCTTTTTCAAAGCTCCAGGCAATATCTTCGCAACAGCCCTAACTTCATCATCAACATTGTAATCAATCTTCGGTCCCCATTTCCTCAGATAATCCACCCACGGTGGCTCCTCCGCCGCAATCACCTCGTAACCTAATCCCGTGTCAATTACGTTTTTACCCTTCGCCGTATCGTTCCTTATCCCAATCCCATCGTCTCCTTGCAAAACCAGCCCAGGTTTCGGATACATCGCGTGTCCGTGTAGCGATGCGTAAGCCACCGGCTTGTTTCCGCTTTGAAACTCTAGATCGGAAGCTTCGATCCAAACTCCACCACTGTGTTGCGATAAGAACAATCTCCATAACTCTCCGGTGAAATTGCTTATCCGTAACGTCGCGTGTTCCCAATCTCCGATGTGTTCTCCGATTCTCCCTAATGGTAGATTCACGAATTTGACTTTGGCTCGAGCTGGTCCATTGAAAGGGTAGAAAATCCAGATTGCTATATCTGTGAATGTTGATCCAAGCATTGGTTTGATGTGAAGATAGACATTTGTGTTTTGTATGTCTCCTTTCTTCACTCTCTCTTTACTATTTTTGTCTATAGGAAGATCTAGCCAGTATGATCCATCGTTTGATTCTCCCTGTGGAAGATTTGTTCCGTTTGGTTCGATAGGGATTGGTTTCGATTCTTCGCCTTTCTTGTATAGTAATGCTCCGTTGCTAAAGTACCAGTTAACAGAGGAAGGTAGATATTCTTCGTCTGGATGGAAATAGATTAATGGAGAATAGGTTTCGAACAATTTTTTGATTTGGGAACCATTTGGCATTGTAGAGAAGTCGAATTTCGTGTTCTTTAAGCAAGATAAAGATGGAGGAGAGGAGTTTTGGGTTTGGTAAGTGAATGTACCTACAGAGACACCTGTAGCTTGTGTTCCTCGTGTGGTCGGTCTTAGGATCGATACGTTGACTCCGTTTGATCCCCATATCCATGTATCAGTTTCGCATTGTTCGGTTAAGTCTGATCGAACGCAGCGTAGTTTGTCTAGAGCAGGCTTTTGTGAGGTGTTTGTGACTATTAGACCGACAGCTTGGTATCCATCAGGAGGCACGGGCTGCCAGAAATACCCGGTTCCGTCTTGTTTGATTTTGAGTGACTCGGTGGTTCCTACGAGGGTGTAATCTATAGGCGGTTTTAAGGTGTTGCTTGAGAGATCTCTAGCTGTGAGTACCCAACCGAAAAGCTTACGGTTGTTTGGTTGAGCGTAATAACCGAGAATCGAGAAACCGGAAGGGATTGAGGATGGTTCAAAGAATGTAGCTCCGAGATTGTCTGGTCCTCCTTCATAAGTGGACCAAACTTTGTTAAACGTCGAAACTTGACTCACCTCGAGACCTCCCAAGTCAATGGTTCCTTTTGCAAACACGCTACCTGGTGATATATCAAAATCATCAAACCAATAGAGAGAGAAGGAGAGATATCAACAAGAACCGAATAATATACAAACTTTGAGTAAAAGTAGGCAATGGTGAGGGAAACTTGAAGGCAGTTTCGACGGGAAGTGCTTTGAGAACCTTGTTTGATACATCTTCAGGAGAAGGATCTGAGATTGTAAGGCAGTTTCCCATTTTTTTTCGGGTAGCGAAAACACAAATGGGAAGATTGATTTACAGATAATTCATCAGAGGAAACTTGAAGTCATGGGT